GGAGTGCCAAAGAATTTGTGCACATGTATTAAGCACTACAATAACTAATAAATATTTGATGGAGATACTTTGATGTATCCTGTTTCTCCTTGAAGCTTTACCCACTGATTTTAGTGTTTATTCATGAATCTTAGGAAACATAGTACTGTGTTGTTTTTTTTTTTTTTTTTTTTTTGAGATGGGATCTTGCTCTTGCAGTGGCATGGGCTCAGCTCACTGCAACTTTGACCACCCAGGCTCAAGTGATTCTTCCACCTCAGCCTCCCAAGTAGCTGGGACCATAGATGTGTGCCACCACACCTGGCTAGATTCTTTTTATTATTTGTAGACATGAGGAGGTCTCACTATGTTGCCCAGGCTGATCTTGAACTCCTGGGCTCAAGGGATTTCCCTCATATCTTCTATACTTATTAACTAGTATTCTTCTGAAAGAAAGATGTCTTACGTCTTACAAATAGCTTCTTCCCAGTTAATTTATTCAATTATATATGTCAGTATGGGTTCATGAGTATTTATTTAATTTTAGGGCTATATTTCAATATTATAATTTATTCTGCTATTCCAGTTTTTCCAGCTTTGGCCATTGGGGGCTCTTTCAGGCTGGCTCCTATGTCCTTTGGAATTGCCCTTACCTTTTGTTTAATTTTTGTGACTGATTGATTAATTGTACTTTCTTACTTTCTAGTTCTATGAGATGGGCCAGGGTCATCTTAGCCATTTCTTCAAGGAGTCCTGGTTCTTTATATTAAAGAATTATATTTAGTGCCTGTAATCTCAGCAGTTTGGGAGGCTGAGGTAGGAGGATCGCTTGAGGTCAGGTGTTCTAGACTAGCCTGGGTAATGTAGCAAGACTCCATCTCAATAACAAGAATTATATTTTAGAAACCAAGATCTGGGTGCCAGTGTGCTTATTGCTACTGGTGTATCCACTGCTTCTAGGCCCTCTCAGCAAACATAACTAGGAAATATATGTATATATGCTAATCATGTATATACATATATCTACACTTATTTCTATATCTATCTGCATAGATATTAAAATAAACATGAGCTCATACTGATATCTTCAATTCTAATCTTGGACCTTAGGGCTTATGCTAGCCTTCCCACCTTGTTTATTTTAACTTCTTTCTCTGACAGGGAGAAAACTGACTTTCATTACCTATGATGTATTTACTTATTTGTTCAATTCTATTGTCTATATAAAGTAGTTCCGGTCGGGCACAGTGGCTCACGCCTGTAATCCCAGCACTTTGGGAGGCCAAGGTGGGTGAATCACAAGGTCAGGAGATCGAGACCATCCTGGCTAACTTGGTGAAACCC